TAAAAAATTACAACAAATTTGTGTAGTATCAAAAAAATGAATAAGACATTTCAAACCAAAACTAAAATTAATTTGAAATGTATTAGCTTGAATGACATATTGATATTATGTATTAATTTCAAAAATCTAGATACAGAAAACTGGCTTCTTTCATGTGAACATAAAGAAATATGCAACACTGTGGCAATGATTTAATATAAATGTTTTACAATAAGAAACCAACTGCAATACAGTTGACTTCATATTATCATTATTGTTTCTTTACGTATTTCTATATTTCTATATTTATAATCATTATATGCAACATGCCCTTTATGGGCCGGTGATTGGTTTGATAGAGTATTCGTTTCGTACATTGTACCAACAACATGTATATGGATACGACGTGTAAAACTGTTGAAACTTTCTGGCTACTGGTCAAGTATAAATGTCGAATATCATCTATATTTCAGGTAACTAAAATTCAATGAATCGGACATTGGACAGAAATTTTGTTTTGCAAAAGCAGTTGGAGCGGTCATTTAAAGGTATAGAAAAAGAATACAAAAGTTCCCAGAGAAGGAATCAATGTATAGCAGAATCATGTGTTTCATTTACGTATCAATTGTTGCATGAAGCAACATTAAAAGAAAAAGAAAATTTCAAGAAAAGACCAAAAACAGCAAAACCGAATTATTGCAATACCCACGATAGAGTAACTGAAGACACAGGTGTTAACAATACACGACTTCGCCCACAAACAGCTCATGGTCAATATGATAAAACTGACAGCAAACAAAAGCGACCATCTTCAGCTCACCCATTAATACCGCATGATGAAAACAAAGGTGATGAACAATGCGATGCTGAGCGTAAGGATTCTTTTCAAAAACCAAAGAATGCTTTGACAAGGGTCAAAGAAATAGTACAAAAAACAAATTCTCTCAATCCAAATGTACTCAACGAAAAGAGGAACTCCCAAGATGAACAAATATCTATCGAAAACGTTCCGATTACATACGACACCCGACAGCAAAACCGTCGCCGACCGAAAACTGCCGATTTTTATCGAAAGAAGCAACCTGAAAGTGAACTGGCTATATTTTGGTCTAGAAAAATACGATACGCCATTGATAAATGGGATTTAGAGGATAACGAAGATGATTTCATCGAAAATGATACAATAAGCGTTGCTTCTCGTGCTTCTCGTGCAAAGCGACCCTTAACACCACCTGTACATAAAACGGAAATGACCGAAACAGAGAAAAGACTGAAAGCCTTTGTTCGGAGATTTGGCTCGAAATATAGGACACAGATGAACCTATCGACTGCAACATCCGGTCATAGCGCTGTAACCACGGGAGGTCGTAAAAACTTTTCTATTTCTAGACAGGAACTTGCAAGCATTCACGGAGATGTATCAAGAAGATTAAAAAACACAAAAATGATAATAAAGAAAAGCGGAACAATACAGCGTTCAGTCGAGAAGTATGCGGAGTATGCAAAAGAATTATCTTCGGAGGGTAGAAGTTCGGTAATGAATTTATCAAAATTTTCGAAAAAGAATTCAACGTTTGAAGTCAAAGTTTGAGATATCAAATACAGACCAACATATACTTGAGCATATTGTTTTAGAAGTTTATCAATGAGATATATCGATATGCTTGGTATCAGATGCTATTACTTTGGACCCGGTTCAGTAAGACTCGCGTTGACACTCGGACCAATTGAACATATGGTGTTTATCAGAGAGGATTCTACAACAATGAAACAATATTTGTGTGTATGTATTCAGCTTCAACTTCCTAGTCGAGGTATTCAGCCAAGTTATCTGTGCTGACATTTATAATGTACACTTAATTAGAATCATTTTCATAACAGCGTGGACAAGACCATTTCTTGGCGCGCTCAGGTTATCAATTGACTGGGTCAGATTAGGTGAATGTTCGTCTGTAACGCCCACTTGTCACATCGTACGTGTTATAGACATTTAAACTGTGTGGTCGCCAAAGGTTCTAAACGCCTAAATCAAATAATACGAATAACTAGCAGATGACTAAACCTTGTGTGTTGATTTAAATGTTGGATAATTATACTTAACCTTTCTTTTTCTCTTCTCGTGCACTGGGTCTGCATGTACTTTACTCTTTTTATTCTATTTAAATCCCCATTGGAAGGCCTCTGACAGACTGAGTGAGCGTAAAATCACTGTTATCGATAGCCGATGACAAACAAGTTAAAGGTAAATGATTCAGTATTATTACCAACATAAGTATTGCGGTTGTCCACGCTGTTATGAAAATGATTCTAAGAAACTCGGGGAAGAAGTTGTAAAACAAATAAAATACAGATTAACCAAATATAAAGAATAACAGGTATTTTTACTCTACATCTTCTTGACTTTACTTATTTTGGACTTTAATTTAACCTGGTCGAACAGACCTTAAGTTATTTAAAGTAAAACGAATCTGCCCTTAATAGTCTATAATCTATTATATAAAACGGTGCCCAATCAATGAATTAATATACAATACTAGTAAATGAACATAGTGCAAAATGTTAATAACGATTCTCTTATTTTCATTTCGTATTAGATTAGAACTTGTCTTGAAGTTGCCACTGAGAGACACTTGTGATAGATTTGGACACGTGAATTAGCCATGACTATCATGTTTATTTTCAAAGTTCACATAGTCAACTGACAAGGTACTTACTTATGATTAAGGTTTTCGTTTAGTAAAATTTAATTTTTGTTTCGTTTAAGGATGTACACAGGTGAAATTTTAAAAATCTAAAATAAACTTGATACTTTAAGTCAGGAGAGCATTAGTTAAGGAACAAAATAAGCTAAATATGTTGATAGGTTATGGAGCTCTTTTCGAGATGCTTATTATTTTTAAAATAGCGGGAAAAGACTGACTCGGACTTTTACCTTATATTTGCATTTGTATTATTTAGGTCTCAAATCGAGAGATACGAAATCTAGAATCTGCTTAAATTTTGGACATGACCTTTAATGAGCTATTGGAGTCTTGCATGAAAAGGAAAATGGGTGTTATGGGGCAAAATAATTTATCCTGTATCGTAGGGAAAAAACCAAGGAGTCCGAACATCTAACAAAGTTCCTAAATCTGACCTAAGTACATCCTTAAAACGATCAATTTGTTTTTGTTTGGTTCAGTTTCATGTTTATTTAGCTACGTTACGGTGCGCAAATTTGTTTAGAACTTTACGTTGGTTTACTTACGTTAATGGAAAGTTTGTTGGTTTTTATTGTTGCCTTGAAGGGTTTTGAAAATGTTTTAACTTGAAAAATGTAATTTACTGTAATTTTATAAATGAAGTTAGACGAGGTAAAATGTTGAATAAAACCATAGCCAACTATATGTATATATGTAACATAACGTCGTTTCAGTAGCCTCACACTGGGAGACGTGGTTCACTAAACAAAACCACAAAAGTCTGTAGTATCAATCTAAATCACTATTCTTACAGAAACAACATGACCTTTACGAGGACATACACTAACCCCAAGTCTTAGAACGAAGCAATGTTTCTACTTTTCAGTGGCGGATCCAGAAATTTTCATAAAAGGGGGAAGGCACTGACTGCATAAGAGGGGGCCGCTCCAGTCATGCTTCGGTGATTCCCTAAATAATCAACCAAATTTTCCCCACAAAAAACGGGGCCGGGCCCCCTGGGCCCCCTAAATCCGCCTCTGCTTTAACCTACGATTTACCAAGCAAGCAACGTAAGCAATGTCGAACAAACAATGACTGTCGTAACCAAGTAACAATTCTATTAATGTAAAGATATTGCACATTCGTTACTTTCTCCAGTCAAATGCATGGACGGATTTATATGCATTTACACACGCCTCGGTTAGCTTAAGGTCGTATATGTGCATTATTATGCTTTGAATAGGGTTAAATGGTCGCAAATTAAAGTGACACTCAAGATACTAGATACAATTGTTTTAAATTATTCACTGAATTGAAAACACTAAATGTTTTTGTATAATGTTACACGATTCGTAAAATTGAAATTTTAATAACTAGAAAAAATTATAATGGTTACCTAGGTCAAAAGGGAAAGGAAAAATCAAGTTTTGTGGAGGAAAAATAAAGGTAAGTTTCAAAAGAAAAATGTCTGCCATATGTCATATCAATTTAATAGATTTGGTTGCACTATAACTAGCCTCGATGAAATGGATATCATGTTTAGTTGTTTCAAACTGTTTTAACATGATTCATTACCAAAACACTACAAATATATATGATACAATAATATTTCTATCCACAAATACCTTTCCGAATTTAATCAAAACGGGCGTCTACAGCTGACATCAGACTGTTAACAAGTTGGGTAAGAAGCACTCAAAAGATTGTTAGATACAAAACAAGATTGTTTGAAAAACACGAGACTGTTGTAGTTTTTTTCTGATCTGAGGATAAAGTTGTACTTCAACACCTTCATGAAAAAAAAGCTAAGCGCGTACATCACATTTTTGTCTGACTCTCATTGACGTACGTATACCCAAAATATCCTGTAATATATTTTTAAATAGTTTGAAAAAAATTGAAAAGATAACGGTTTGATCTATTATTAAATAAGTTCTGGTCTCCACTCATATTCATATCGATTCAAAATCACTCTGATTCTAAGAAAAAAAATTCTCGTAAACTGACATTATCAAGATGTTTAATTTCTTCATTGACCACATATTTGTTTTGTTTGGAGGACGTGTTTTTCAACAAACAATTGGCATTCCCATTGGAACAAACTGTACTCTTCTTGCTGACTTGTTCCTTTATTGATATGAATGCTGACTTCATACAGGAGACCTTTAGGAAGAATGAAAAGAAGCTAGCATTATCCCTTAACTTCATGTTCCGCTATATAAATGACGTCCTCTCACTAAACAATTCAAAGCTTGGTGACTATGTTGAACGCATCTATCCCATTGAACTTGAAATAAAGGACATCACATATACATCCAAGTCTGCCTCATACCGGTAATTTGACTTACATCTAGAAATTGACAATAAGGGTCGGTTGGGAACAAAACTTTACGACAAAAGAGATGATTTCAGTTTCCCAATTGTGAACTTTCCATTTCTATGCAGCAATATTCCAGCAACGCCTACATACGGAGTAAATATCTCCCGGTTGATACGATAATCCACAGTATGATTTCCTTGATATGGGGTTGCAACTAACAAGAAATTTATTAAACCAAGAGTTCCAGGTGGTGAAGTTGAAATCATCCCTTCGAACATTTTACGGACGCCACTACGAATTGGTTGACTGTTATGGAATATCTGTTTCACAGATGACGCCTGGTGTGTTACAACTGTCGTAACCACAATCCCGTCATCTTTTTTTAAATCAATAAATAAATCAATTTTATTTCAAGAAGATAATCCCATTAGTTATAAAACTTATCTTTTTCCTGGGTGCCACATGTGGAATAGGATATACTTACCCTTCTGGGACACCTGAGATCATTATCCGGTTTTTGATGAGATTCGTGTTGCTAAGTCTTTAGTTTTCTGTTGTGTTTTGTGTACTTTTGTTTATCTTTTTATCATATTTCGTTTTTGCCACATGGCGTTGTCATTTTGTTTTCGAATTATGATTTGTATATCCCTCACCTCTCTATACAATTTCAAAATAAATTCATGACAACAAGTCGATCGTCCGAAAAATCTTTGTATTGGATTAAAGAACATTTTCATAAGATGAAACAGAACTTATTGAAATTGTACTGCTTTTCTATTCTAAGTTTTCTAATTTCACTAATAAAACAAACACCCCGACGATGAATTGAGATAATATAATTTGTATTGCCAATTAGCACACATGAGAATCAACCATTAACAAATAATATACATACACATACAAGAATATGCCAAATAAACATTTAACCATTATATATACAGAAATATTGTGCACATTATTTTTTTTGTGTATCATCAGACATGATTGTATTGTCTGATAGGGAGTCGACACCTACTTTTCTATAAGACGTTTCAACGAAGTCTCCAATTTAACAAGCAGGTTCAGTGTTGGGGCTCAGAATGTGAACTATTTAGTTTATTTATTGAATTAAGATCTTTTAAAAAATATTTACACATTCTCTCTTAGATAATATAAACATATATCAGAACGTATTGATAAATTAATATCAGAATCGAAAAAAGAAGTGATAATCAGTCTCTAAATTTTTCCAAAGCCTTTGTTCGCTAGTGATGTTCATGAACTTATTACTTCAAAGCCTTTGTTCGCTAGTGATGTTCATGAACTTATTACTTCAAAGCCTTTGTTCGCTAGTGATGTTCATGAACTTATTACTTCAAAGCCTTTGTTCGCTAGTGATGTTCATGAACTTATTACTTCAAAGCCTTTGTTCGCTAGTGATGTTCATGAACTTATTACTTCAAAGCCTTTGTTCGCTAGTGATGTTCATGAACTTATTACTTCAAAGCCTTTGGACGGATCAATATGGCCACAACTTGGATAATGAATGATGACATAAGACAAACCCTGACGAGGTTTAGGACAGACACTAAACTGGACCCCTGTTGTGTTCACTTATCGCTACACTAACCTTCGGAGAGAAGCTTTAGATGGAATGGCGGACCAGTTTAGGACAGACACGTGATTATGTGGCGGGTTTAAACTGGAGTTTAATATGAATAAAAGGAGATGTGTGATAAACATTAAATTATTACTAAACGACACAAAATATACAAAGAAATAAGGTCAACATATGGTCTTCCAAAACTGATAAACAATCGAAATCAAAATACTGAAGTACTGAACATCGGATGACCGCATGATCTTCTGAATGGTCCGACAAGCACTTGTCTCAGAAAAAAAATCACATCTCTATACCCGAAGTGAGGTTAACGTACAGATATAATTTTTTTCTTGGACAAGTTCGTGCGTGGATGATAAATTAATGACAGGGAATTCAACCTCACCGTAATGACTATTATATTGTAGTGATACAAATCAGTATACTCTGGTTTATTGTTATATATTATATTAATACTTGTATATTACAGTTACATGTAGATATAATTTTCATGCATTTGTATATCATTCTATTCTACTATATTTATAATAGTGCAGTACAAGTGCATGGTGGACACTCTTCTGTAATAATTCGATTTTTCTAATAGAATGGATTTGAGTAGGCATTCGTATTTTCCCGCAAAAAATGTTTAATCAGCCATGCAGAGTTATCGTTCCTTTAGATTGCAAACGTTCTTGAGATATTCTTCCGCATGCGTGTGCATAGAATTAATGATTTTTTACTTATATGTATATGCATACAACAAAACATTTTAATATTATTAATTTATCTTCTTTGAAAAGTATTTG